TGTGTTATTCCAACAAAGCTAGGAGTGAGCTAGGACCAAGATAGCACCATAAAACACCCAAAACCAACCTTTGAGGAGTTCACGGCCATAAACCCATGAGTTTACGGCCGTAAACTCCAAGATGTGGGGTTTGTTGGGTGGTAAACTCCTATACAAGGCCATTTGATGTTTCAAACCCTTTTGCCTTGTCCCGTAACAACTTAGATGCAACCATTTGAACCTTAAACACTCATAAGAGTGCTTACATGTTCCTAATTGTATTAACTTACTTTGTTAAGTTATTATGTGGCTAATTAGTTATATATATGCTTATTATATGATAACTAGGCTCGTACGTGTGAACAAGTCTCCGTTTGACACTTAGCACGGTACCCGATACCTCAATTCAAGCGACTCACCACATGTGAGTTCATACCCCTTGAATCAACCTTTGAAATGATTTTAAATGTTTTAAACACTTTATGGGGGGGATACAAGTCAAATACTTATAGTTATTGCTTCAATCACATGTGATTGCCTTTAATCACATGTGATTAATAACTAGGAAAACAACGATTTTTACCAATGTTCAAACTATTTATCAAACTGTTTCACTTCAAACGTTTTACAAACTCTTTTTACTTATCAAATGCTTTTATTAAACTTTGTTCTACTTCTTATAAATTGCATGCCCGTATACGTATAGATGTATAAATAATGTTTAAAAGGCTTAGGAAAGCCACCTATCCTATTTCCTTTTCCTGATTTGGATGTGGTCTGGTGGAGCTTCGGGTGACCATCCGAAAGTCGTTTCAACATTAGTTATATAATATATACATGTATAGACATAAAAGTACTTCCATACTCATATTTATCAGTACATCAATAGTTAGTTACCATCGGGGTAACATAGTACAATACATATACATATACTAGAAACAATACATATACAATGAAGCTAGAAACAATACATATACAATGATGCTAGAAACAATACATATACAATGAAGCTAGAAACAATACATATACAATGATGCTAGAAACAATACATGTACAATGATGCTAGAAACAATACATATACATATACTAGAAACAATACATATACAATGATGCTAGAAACAATACATATACATATACTAGAAAGAGAAACAGTACATATACATGAATACTTTATTATTGTGATTTAAATCGGAGCATGACTTAACTGTCATGGCTCGAGTTGTAGCCAGAATTCTCTTGAAGGGAGAGCGTTGAGTTTGCGTATAGATCTATACTGGATTGACAATCCTACACCTTGCTGCTAGCTACAGCCGGACCTGCAGGTCTGCGGGTGCCAAACGTCATTCCGTTATTACGACCATTCATTTGTCGTTGTTACTAGTCGATAGTATGGTGCAATTTATCACGTAATGCCTTAATATAAATCCGGTTTAAGGTAGTTAGTACCGCAGTAGTCTTATAATACAAAGGCTACAGTACTACATTAATTTACCCATTACATATTTTAGTGATAACCTCACTTAAACGTTTATGTACAAACTATATTTTGTTAAATGATAGTTACATTTGGGAAATTACACACTTTTACATCAAACGAACATACAAAACAGACAAGCCTTGGTAGAAGGCTTCTTTAATAGAAAATATAGGTTTTTCTGAGAGATTCAAACTTTTACAAACAATTACAAACTTTTACATACATTTTACAAACTTATACTTGATACAGATTTAAACATTTTTGAAGGACAACTTCTGACACTAAAATACTTATGAACTCACCAGCTTAATGCTGATAAACTCTTTCAAAATAACTTGTATTCTCAGGTCGTCAGTAGACAGGTACCGAGACCAGCTTTTGAGAAGATGGAGCGCATTCAAGACTCATCTTATTATTTTGATATACGTTATTTTTGGTGTCTATAATGTACAGAACACGCTTGTATTAAAATTATATATATTTAATGCAATGGATGATGTTGTTTGCTTATTTACATTTACTGTGTTGTGATACTTACATGACGTCCTCCGCCCCAGAACGTTTCCGCCGTTCTTGGTTTTGGGGTGTGACAAATAAATACTAAGATAAGGGAAAAATACATACCCACCACCACATCAGGATTTCCTCGTGCCTCCTCTGCTGTCAGTTGAAAAGCCCTACTCTTCGCCACCGGCGTCTCGACTCGGCCCTGACGGCCATCTGAAATCCTCAAGGTAGCAGGAGCTGGTGCTGACACCTTCCCCGCTGCCGCTAAACTCGGACACTGGGACTTTTTATGTCCCCTCTGATTACACTGGAAGCAAATCAGATCTGATGCCGCAACGGTGGTGGTAGTGGTTGTACAATCTCTGCTCATATGCCCAGTCCGGCCGCACTTGTAGCAGCCGGCACTCCCTGCCTTGCACGCCCCGTCGTGCAATCTCCCACACTTGCCACACCGAGCGTGGCTCTGCTAACTCCTAGATCTATGATCTGAACCCTTGGGCTTTTTGCCCAAATTCCCTTAACCTGGTGCCTCCTCCGGCTTCCTCTTTCTCTTCATCTCAAGGTCAATCTCCTTCTCTCGTGCCCTAGCAATCATGTCATCCAGCGTTTTACAGCTGGACCGGCTCACAAACTGGAAGATATCACTCTGCAGCATCTCATGATAACGAGCCTCCTTCATTTCCTCATCAGCCATGTACTGAGGAACGAGAAGTGCCCTTTCCTTGAACTTGGCGGTAATTTCCGCCACTGTCTCTGTAGTCTAGGTAAGATCCTGAAACTTGCGTGCTAACTGTTGCACCTCAATAACTAGTGCGTACTCGACTCTGAATCTGGTAGTAAAGTCTGCCCAGGTCATGGTATCCAAGGCTGTGTCATCCCCGATGGCATGACCAATCTCCTCCCACCAATCCCGTGCCCTGTCCTTCAGAAGACAAGATGCCAATCTGACCTTGTCCCCCTCAAGACATCTGCTAGTGCGGAAGGCGTTGGCCACATCTGCCAACCATCTGGTGCTCGCTATGGGGTCCTGCACCCCGTGGTAATCTGGAGCTCCACATGCACGGAACTCCCTGAAGGTAAGCGTGCGCGACCCCATCATGGCCGCTACCTCAGCACGGAAAGTACTCAGTCTCTCATTCATCAACTCCAAGATACCCTCCTTGATCAAACCAAAAGATCACAGGAGTCTGCTCAAGTAGGGGTGCGAGTAATCTCTGAAGAGAGAAACTCCCTAGTTTGCTCATCCAACTGCCCGGCCTCCGGGCCTGATCCTGATCCCCCTCCGGCACTTAAACTGTTGACTGCTGGTCTAGGGCGTAATATCACCATTCTGAAACACAACATAATAAACGTCATGAACACTGATATATCTCTAGGGGTCACTACTACCACAAGTTTCCCGGTCTCATCTCAGCTTTCCTTGATTCGAGTACGGATCCTCTGCTTCCAGTAGTACGGGCCCATACTACCTTCCACATCTATCCATACTTTCCTCAAGTACTGCCTTGACTCCACCAAGTCACTATTACTGCTAATGATCTCTGTTACTCTCATCCTAGGCTTGCCCTAGGGAATTCTCTGACTATACCCGACCCAGTCCTCAGCTTCTGAAAGCCTCCCTGTGATGCCAATTAGCCATCACCTAAATACCATCACATGCAGAGAGGCTCAGATAATCCTTCAAGTAAAAGACTCATCCCTACAACGGTTATACTCAAACAAGAGTTGCACAATAGGGCTAAGTCTAGCACTCTGAGATTATTCAACCATGTTCACATGTGACGTGACACATTCACCTAATGGCTAACTCTCATCACTTAGAGTCCCACAAAGCACAAAGCAAACAGCATTCAGACATAGGAGACCACTCAAGAAATTATATCCTCATAAAAAGGGAAGTTGTACTAGCATACAATGCTAAGTTCATATTATTAGGCATAACCTAAACAGGCTATCCTACTGCTGACTACTCTATGTTAGCATGCAATTCTTATAATGCTGAAACACATAAAGCAGACATATAAGGCATCCTCCTAGATCCTTCGTTCTATACTAGCATGTTGTTCTACTGAAACTGAAACTGATATTCATAACATAACTTGTATGGGTAATTTGAGAGTACTTACTTGAGCTCGGTTGATCGCATGCACCATACCCCTTTTCTCTTTTCAAAGTTTTTATCTTTCTTAAAAATTCTTTTTACTTTTCTAAAACTCTTTTCTTTCGAAAAACATTTTACCATTTCCTTAGTTTGAGTTCAGACACACCCGGAAGTGTGCCCGAATCCCTCAAACCAAGGCTCTGATACCAACTTGTAACATCCCAAAATACGACCCAAATTTTTTTGTTTAAATAGTAATAAAAATCATATATTGATTGTCATATCATAAAAACCATACATCAAATATCTCAACTCATAATAAAATGTTGTGAAACAACTGTATCAAATCAAACTACGAATCAAAACAAACTCCTAGGATAAAGACTGAAGTTGTGGTGTGTGCGATGCCATCATCCCGAGCTCTTCCCTTTACTTACGGAAGTACCTGAAACCAAAACTAAAACTGTAAGCACGAAGCTTAGTGAGCTCCCCCAAACTACCACATACCATACAATAACATATAAACACGTACTGGGCCTTACCCACTGCATCGGACCGAAGCCCGGAAACTGCATCGGACCATAGTCCAGAACTGACTAGGACCTTGTCCCCTGCATCGGACCGATGTCCGGAACTAGCTACATCGGACCGAAGTTCGGAACTGACTGCATCGGACCGAAGTCCAGAACTAACTGATCATAGCATAGCATATACACATATCAACTAGCATAACACACATCATCATAAACTCATATACTGCATACTACGTCAGGCCGTAGCCCATAACACATAACACATAAATCCTGTCTGAGCCACGAAGGCATCAAACACACTAACAACTGCATCAGACCGAAGTCCGGAAACTACTACTAACTAAACGGGTCGGCATTGTGGCCTTGGGACCCGTTCCTACTGGAAGGAAACTCACCTCGTAGCCTAGCTGCTGAAAGGACTGCTCCAGAATCTGTCTGCTGCGTTTCCGGTTTCACGTCGGCTACAATATCCATGAGCACCATCAATCAAATACTTATAATAATAATACTGAGGGTAAAATGACTCTCCTACCCCTGGTCCAAGTCAACCTAACTGTCAAAGTCAACATTCAGTTGACCTGACTCATCGAGTTGGGTCGCCAACTCGTCGAGTCCTTACTCTTACTTTCTTGATTCCACTCGCTACTACTCGTCGAGTTTTGGCGCAAACTCGCCCGAGTTCCTCTTCGCTACTAACACTCCGATAATCTGCATCCGAATCGCCAAGTTGTATGAACAACTCGTCGAGTTCTCCTTCATCAGATGATCATTCTAGCTGTGACTCGCCGAGTTGTATGAACAACTCATCGAGTCTGTTCTTGAAGTATGAAGATTCCCTTGGACTCGCCGAGTCAGGGCATTGACTCGCCGAGTTCTTCCACGAATGATTCTAACCCTCTAGCTCACCGAGTCCACCTCTCACTCACTGGTTCCACTCGGTATAACTCGAAAAAGGAAACACAGGGGACTCGCGACTCGACTCGCCGAGTCAGAAGAACGACTCGCCGAGTCGTATGCATGCAAACATTATATACTCGATTCTGCTTGAAACCAGTCCATACCATTAATAGATTTGGATTCCTGGGACTTGATTTACACGTAAAGTTTCCAACTTTACGTGTGAATAACATCAAATGAAGGTTTTAAGGTTCAAAGCACACTATAATAGTAGATCTAGAGCTTTCATGCAAAATGGATCCAGAAAGGTGTTAGATCTAAGCTTCTGGAGTTCAAATCTAGCTAGACCCGAAGGCTAATCAACTCCATGAGTCCTCTATGTTACTATTAAGCTAAGAAATGGTTCAAGAATGGCTTTAATGGCTTCAAAAAGGAGATTTAAGCATAGAAACAGAAAAGGGCCAAGAACGTCATTTTAGCCCTACAAAATTTCCGTGTTTGTTTCAAAATCAATAACCATTAACAATGTCATATTGTTTTGTGACAAGATATTGTTTTGCGAACTTGTCATTTTAGTCGGTAAAAATCCATATAGTTGAAGTTGTGGTTTGAAAAAATGACCATAACAGACTATCAGTTAAACGTAGCAAAATGATAGTGTTTGTTGTCATTTTAACCTATACAAATTGTAACAGCTAGTATTTTAAAACCAAAATAAAAGCTAGTTTGTTTATTGGATACAACTAAAAGTTCATTAACCTAAAAAGCAAATTTTGAGTTATTGGTTGTTAAGTCATTAATTAAGCCTATAAACATTTTAAGTCATTCGACTAAGACTAATGTTGATAAGGAAAAAAAAATACATATTTATGGCACTTATTATATTGATATTGAAACTGGTGTTATATGGGACAAAGAGAGAAGGCTATTAAAAAGGACATAACTTCCACAATGTACAAACGAGTAATCAGTAAAATTGTGATGCAAAAAGTCACAACACCCAACAATGGGATTACACATTCAGCAATAAAATGTTTACACAAACATATGTCGCTAAAATAAAATGACCAAAAAAAAAAAGCCAAAATTACTGAGAATTAAACCTTTGAACATCAACCAAGTTGTAGAGGTCACCACGACGTTGCTTCTGTAGCGGGAGATTTGTCCTATACATTTTATTGATTAATTAATACCAAGTTATGACTTGCCATTTTATATTTTTTGGTTTTTTCAAATTCTTATGTTTGGAAAGCTAAAAAGTAGCTTATACACAAGTTCTTTAGAAAACTACTCAAACTAGCATTTCAACAAATGTAGCTTTTCCAAAATTCTATTAAATATACCATTTATTTAAATATCCTAACTTGAGTACATCCCAAATGTATTACGTTTTTGTCTTAAAATATTGAATCAAACTTTTATGTTATTTCACATTTACCATATTAGATTTTACTTTTTACCAAAAGTCATTTTTTATCAGCTCGCAGTTTAGTTTCAGTTAGTCTACCAAACATGGCCTAAACGTTTTTAAAAACTTTTTCAATTAAGGTTTTCGAAATAACTTAATTAAAGTTTTGAAAGATAATAATTAAAAGCTCCTAATGATTTTTAAAACAACTTCAAAGTCAAAACTCACCTCCTTAGGTCCATGAGTGAATAATCAATCTCTGATATAATGGTTGCCTCATCATGTTCTGTAGTAGCCAATACCTCTCCAAACTATCAAATATCACAACAAGAAATAACAACATGCTCTCATTTATTGGTGTATTATAGCATCCTACTTTAAATTTTTTTATTACAAACTTTCAATCACAATATTAAGAACTAGATGAAAGAAATAGCAATGTACTTTCATATATGTGTATTATAGCATCTTACTATTTCTTTCCACTACAACATTGTACTTACAATTTTTAACTTTTTAAAACAATATAATTGGTCAAAATTTTAAAGTAGAAAACTATTTCTTGCATTTCACTAATAAATAAATCGAATATAAGAGAGTAATGAGGTTGCGAAACTTACGGGTCCCACAAGCGTGGAATGGCCCCATGCCACATAGCCACCAGACTCAGCATCTCGAGCAGGAGAGCAAGTTGCTACATATAACTGTTGTCACGAAATCAATACTAATTAATTTTTATTTTTATATAAAATTAAATAAATACATTATCCGATATTAAAATTATGTTTTCAACAAAGATTAATCATTTTTTTTCCAACAGTTATAATGTATCAAATGACAAATCTTAGTTCAAAAGATAGAAAAATACTAAAAGTTCAATTTTTTTGCCATTAAAATTACAACTTCTGTTTTTTTTTTTTTTTTGATGAAAATGTTTAAAAAGGTAATTAGTATATCATACCTGATTATCCACAGCCCTGCATATCATATATATATAAATTAAGTTAGTAGCATATCTTACTGTTAAAACTTTTAATTATATAATCCATAAATATAAAAATATATATAAAAAATATACCTTGCCCTTTGTAATAACTCCCAGTGCAGTGGGCCAGTAGTCATGTTGAAGGCCCCAGGATAACAAAGTAGGTGAGCACCTGATATGCAACATTCATTACTAAAAAAAAGTAGCTTAACAATTAATTTAATTTGTAAAAAATGGAAATTGTTAAAAGTTAGGAATTAAATTTAATTATTTAAATACAATAGACAAAAAAGTAGAAAAGTGTGAGTTGTATAATAAACCTCTAGCTGCATATAGCATGGCTAGTTCCTGAAATCGAATGTCATAGCAGATGCCTATGCCTATGCGTCCAACATCTGCATATAAGATTATAATTTAATTAGACTCATGAATGTTTTAAAAAAAAAAAGGGACTTTTTTCATTTATAGAAAAACAAACATTCTGCATTTAATTACAAACAAACCTGTGTCAACAACAGTAGGAGTTTCTCCAGCAGTAAGAGTCTTTGATTCCTCAAATGTAATCTTTCCAGGAATATTGATATCAAAAAGGTGTATCTGTCATGTAGTCATAATGTCATATCACACTAATTATCACAACTTTATCTCTATGAATTCATGATGATAATGAGAGTAAAATTAGGGGTTATATGCAAGAAATTGCAACATACTTCTATTGATTTTTGTTTCTCAAAGCACCCTACTTTCATTTCTTATAATTGGGTTGAATTTTTCAAAATGCATTACCTTAATACAAAGTAAATGAAAACAGCATGATATAATATTAAAGTTCCCAATGCTTAAAGACCATAACTAGAAGAATACCTTTCTGTGTTTAGCTATCAGGTTTCCATCAGTATCGAAAACACAACAAGTATTGTAAAGCTTGTCCCCACATCTTTCTGGTATGGATCCACCAACTATTGTGATCTTCAAAGAACGAGCAGCTTCAGACAACATTGCTGTTGAAGGAGATGAGTCTTTCCCAGCATCAATGTCTTCAGCATACACAGGGAAGCTATCGTTTGAATATGGACTATTCCATATTTCCTGAGAGATGACAATTGTTAAAGTTCTAGAGCTTTCAAAATCGAGTTCATAGTGTGCATTTAACTAACGAGGAAGGAAGATATACAGAAGAGTAAAAGTTCGTAATAGAAAATTACAGGTAGAAGAACAAGCTTGGCACCCTTTTCAGCTGCCTCCTCGATTGCTACACGGGCATGGGCAATGTTCCTCTCCTTGTCTGCAGTAACAGATAATTGACATAGTCCAATCTTGAACTGCAATCGCGATATCATACAATCAGTCACACAAAATAAGTAATTTGTAAAGTTGAATGCCGAATTGTACATGGATATCCCCAATTGTATCTAAGCACTATGCATGCACAGAGATTTTGAAATACGAAACCTTGGAGATTGGAGGAATTGGCGTATCGATAGCAGGAGGAACCCTAGCTTTCTCAGGGCTAAAAGAAGACGCCATGGATGATGCTGAGACGCGGGTGAGCGTACGTGTAGTGGTAACGCTGAATAGATTGTGACCAGGGCTGATTTTGTTGACTTTACTACCAGTTTGCGGAATCCGGAAGTTGCGTAGTAAAGATAGACGGCGGCCGAGCGGCGTAGCTACGACAACAGCCGATGATCGGAGAGTTTTGAGATTTACAGGCGAAGTATATGAAGGCAGAGTTGTGGACAAGAACGCAATTGATCCACTTCTCATTTCTTTTCCGCCGTCACTTTCACCATTGACGCTACTTCTGTTTCTGTTAAAATTGATGGAACATCTACCGTAGGCAGTAGTCAGTATTAGGCACTATTCTTGAGGTTTTTCTTTTGTTTGGTTTTCTAGGTTTGACTATTTTTATTAAATCAGTTATTTTTTTTAATTTTATATTAAATATTACCAATTATATTTTTTATAAACAAAATTATGTGGTTGGTCCATGTAGTTTGTCGAAACATGTTGAATCGTGTTATGTATCGGTCCCTTGGTTTTAAAAACTAACTCGTTCAATCCTTTTGGCAAACATTATTAAAGTGAAGTCGTTAGTTTATGTCAGATCACAACATATCTTACGTGGTTTGCCACATGAGCACCAACCATTTACCTTCTCACTTGATATGTTCCCTACTTTCTTCAACACTGGCAAAAGTGAACAAACCTCTTCCGCTTTCTTTTAGTTGTTGTATCAATTGTGATTTTAAGAAGAATTCTTCAGATCCAAGGTAAAAACTCATATTCACACACCTTTTTACCTCTAGTTTTAAGAAGAGTTCAAAAAAGGGTTGAGAAGACTTCAATTAGGGTTGTCAGATGGTGAGTTCTTCAAATTCAAGGTAAAAACTCACCTTTATGTTTGATTTGTTCAGATGGCGAGTTCTTCAAATTCAAAGCAAAAGCATACACAAAACACTTAATTTAAATATTAGTCGATTAAAATTAATTTGCATTGGAAAGTTTGGGTACTTCAGTCCTTGATATGGAGAAGTATATGTGTTTATGTACTGAATACACTTGTAGACGTAATTGAGGAGTTGAGGAGTAATTACGGAAAATAATTAGGGTGGAGGAAATGGTCATTTTTCTATCCCTCATATCAATAGGTGTGTGCAACATATTCCATAGGATTTGATCAAAGATTGTTGTGGGTTTCTTGCAAACGTAATTCCTGAAAAGCATCTTGATTCATAAAATTTGAAAATTAAGAGAGAATTGATATAATTTTGTTTAAAAATGAGAAGGTTGAAACGATATTTGTAGAATTCTTTTTTAACAAAATAAAGCTGAAACATGGTCATTGGGGGTGCACCCAGTTAGGTACATTTTAAAAACCTACATAGCTTATGGAGTATTGAATGAGGAGGATCCTTTGTCAAGGACTAAGGTGAGTACATGTGTGCATACATAGGAGTTTGGATATATATATAAACTATGCCTTTTAAAAATGTTGTATATTAAAGGAGTTCATACGGGCAGTATACTATGTTGCATATTCTTTCATACGGGGGTCGGAGTGAATAGCTTTGTGTAGGTACGACATTCTGTGCAAAATAAGAAATTGGTAAAGTGCGTTGACATTCTAGAACGTCTCACAACCCTGTTAATGCAATACATATGCAATTTGATTAAGATATCATACTAATTAAATGTTCATATAACCATAACTAAAACCAACTTAAGCTTTGAACATGAACATAACTTAATGACGGGTACTAAAAACATATATTCACATATTTATAAAATATAAAACATAAATATGTAAATGAGATGGTTGATGTGATGTGTATCCCATGTTATATGTGTAAATCACCAACGATATGTCTTTTCTCACTTGCTAGTAGAACCATTAATAGTTACAGACCAGCCAGTTGTCAACATCTTAAAGGAAAACATACAACCCCCCCCCCCTTCACCCACCTACACATAGTGCCCCCTCCCACTAGATTGTTGTGGTCTATATGTGCCTTTCACAAGTCTAAGTGTGAAAACTCTCGAGGGAATATGATCATTCTTCTGCATACTCTAGTAGTTGATAGCATGTAAGACGATATGAATTCAGGCTCGTACAGTAGTTAACCAGGTGTCGATTTATAAAAAAAATAGTTATCATTTTAATAAATCGTAGATGATTAGTGTCTACGACTGTAAATATAAAATCTTAAAAACTAATGGCCAATTGTATATTGATGGGGATGTATACCTACATAAATTAAGAAAAACACAAATATTACATTACATTTGATTGCAGTTGACATATACTTGTGTAATGTAATCTAAACATAAGTATAACAGATCAACATCACACCAATTTGGGTAAAATGTCCCATCAGCAACCATACGCCTCTGTAATCTAGGTGGAGAAAAGTGTCAGACCAATTATCAATTGTGAATCATCAGGCCAATACTCAAGAAGCAATAATATCCATATCATAATTTCTATCGACAAACACATGCAAGATTATGTACAGTGTAATATTCTACTAAACTAGTATTATTTTCCATTTATTTTGCATTTTAAAATTATTTTTAGATTATGTACAGTGTAATATTCTATTTAGAATATTTCACGTATTTTTCAAAAAAAAAAGAATTATTTATTTATTTATTTATTTTTATTTTTATTTTTTTTAGTTAATTCAAGTTCCGAAAATAATATTTAAAAAAAGAATTTTTAGATTTTTCCATTTATTTTGCATTTTAAAATTATTTTTTAGAATATGTCAGTGTAATATTCTATTTAAAATATTTCACGTATTTTTCAAAAAAAAAAGGGATTTTTTTTTATTTTATTTATTTTTTTAAAATTTTTTTTTAGTTAATTCAAGTTCCGAAAATAATATTTAAGAAAAGAATTTTTGGATTTTTCCATTTATTTTGCATTTTAAAATTATTTTTAGATTTGGTCTCACGGTCTCACAAAATTAGAATGGTCTCAAATGACCTGAACCTATATATATATATATATATATATATATATATATATATATATATATATATATATATATATATATATATATATATATATATATATATATATATAGGGTTAGGTTCGGCCTAATTTTGTGAGATCATGAGATGCATTTTTTTATTTTTTTTAGTTAATTCAAGTTTCAAAAATAATATTTAAAAAAAGAACTTTTTGGATTTTTCCATTTATTTTGCATTTTAAAATTATTTTTAGATTTGATCTCACGGTCTCACAAAATTAAAATGGTCTTAAATGAACCTGAACATATATATATATATATATATATATATATATATATATACTAGCGTTTACCCACGCCAAGCGACGGGTGCTAGATAAGGTTTGACTATTAGAGTATTCATGCCATTACAAATTTTGAGATATGCTAGTATATACTTCAAATTTAAACCAAGATAAGCACACAAAAAGGCAAAACCAAAATGAAACAACAAAATTCATTTGATTGGAAGAGCGAATCGAGGTTCATAATCAACACACCAATATTGTAGTTGGTAATAACTATAAAACCAACATTAATTAAATCTTACATACTTATATATCTGTTTCACATTACAAGTTGAATATAGAAAAACCATACATTGAAAAGCCATACATTGTATTTTTTCCCTTTCTTTATATTAGGATAAGGACAGTCTCATATCAACGTACCCACTTTCCGTTATCTCATCCAACCCTATTCAAAAAATGTCAATCGCACCACCTATTAGATTGAACTTGCATCGATAGGAGATGCAAATAATGTTGTTTTAACCTCTGTCAATTGTCAAATTTAAAACTTTAGGATTTCAAAATTGGTCACATAATTCATCATATTCCATTCGTCTCAACCTGTATGTCAATTGTCAAGTTTAACCTTCATAATATTTGATTAAATCATGATAAGGGGAGGGGGATTTGATCACAAATAACATACCATATTTACTCTTCTGACTACATAGATCCTGCAAGCAAAAAAATAATAAGAGAAATATTAATAATTAGAGCAAGAAACATAATAATAATAATAATAATAATAATAATAATAATAATAATAATAATAATAATAGTAGTAGACAGACGTTCAATATCAATATACTTAGTTTTTTTTTTTTCTTTCAAAAACTAGAATCCCACAAAACTTTTCCTTCCCTGGTTGAGTAGTAACCGATATTCGGAGGTTAACTTAGTAGTAATATTTTTCTTTCTATGTATATTACATAAAAAGTAAATAACGATCACTTGAATTGAGATCTCATGGGAAAGCATGCTCAATAGTAATTCTAGAAAACCAAACATTATTAGTAATATACAAATAAATTGATCAAATAAGCAACAATATGTTAACAAATAAAATAATCTAACATATTACTAAGCAATTGACAATTAAGAGCCTTACGGAAAAAGAAAAGCATGAACAAAATATAAACAAACTTGGCCCTATTTTTGGTCATCCAAATTTGGTAGGAATAATCTCCTTCAAGCAAGTGGCTACAAACACCAAAAGAACAAAATGATTATAAAGATCAAAGATTTGAAAAAAAAATAAACAAAATCAAAAAAAGAAAAAAATATACATTTCTTTACCTCTTCCAAACACCTTAAAACCAAAAATCCATTTCACTTGATTCTGGTTCTGTCAAATCGAGTGTATGTAAAGGGGGAGGGTGTACAAGGAACTGATTAGGAGGGAAAATAAACAGTAGGTGGCCAAAAGGATTTTAGTTTTGGAAAATTGGCACAAAGTTTACTATGTCGATGAGTGGTAACGGTGCAAAAAATAGAGACAAATAACATATCAAAGTTGTTAATGACTGCTTCAATTCAAAGTAAATACTACAAATACATATTCAAAATAAAAAAGAAAGACAGAAATAACATACTGATAACTGGTAGAAAATCGAATAGTGATTAGGGTTTTTCTTATAAATAGAAGAGTGATTAGGGTGTTTCATCCCAGATTTGAAAACCATTTGCTGTAAGAATCCTTCTCCTGCGATGAGCCTGAAGTTAGAATATTGCAACTAATTAATAAAAATATAATGAAATCAAAGGGTTTAGAGAAAAGAGTCAAATTCACGAAGTTTACCTAGATGTAATCAAGGTGGTGGTGGTGGAGTGTGGTTAGGGTAAGTAGATATGAGGAGGGTAAAGTATACAGTTGACCAAATCAAGAACAAATTGTGAATGTGTGCAGTAGTGTTGGGGAGAGCTAGAGGCAGGAAGTAGCAACGATGGTTTTTAGGGAGAGACATCGACGGGAGAAGTTGAGTGTGGGTGTTTGATAGAGACAAAGACAATGAAGGAAGAATAAAAGTGCAGTGGTGTGGTGGAATTTTTGTAAGGTTTTCACTCGTTGTTGTGCGATTATGATT